ACAACACCCAGGATTTGGAGGTAGATTTATTTTACATCAATGGACACTGATTGAGTTCATTCCCAAAATATCAGATCCCAGTCTCTGGTGGTCTAGGGCTTATATGAGATAAGCAAGCAGGAAGTACAGAGACAGAATGGCCTGTCAATTGGGGATTGCTTTATACAATGTGCATCATAGTGACATGCATCACAGTAACAAGTCATTTCTAAGAGACAGGATCAACCAGAACTAGAACAGGAACTGTTACCTGGGCAACTAAGAAACTGAAGAATACTGGCTGATGGGGGGCATTTTCTGCTACATCTCAGCTGGGTCAAATGAAATTTCTAGTTTTAGTTTTTTTGAGGGATCTCCATACTGCTTTCTATAGTGGTTCTACTAGCTTACATTCCTACCAACAATGTAAAAGTGTTCCTTTACCCTGCAGCCTATAGAATGAACCTATAGATCAATTTTGGAGAAGACAGTCATCTTTATAATCTTTTGATTTCAATCTGCAAACTTGGCATCTCCTTCCATTTAAGAATTCTTTAATTTAATTCCTAGCAACTTAAAGTATTGGTAAGGACATGGGTACAGACTCTCATTTACTGCTGATGGAAATATAAATTAGTATGACCGCTTTGGAAAATTATTTGGCATTGTCTTTTAAAGCTTAACATATGTACCCTTTAATGTTTTACATTACTCGATAGAAATGCAAGCACATATACACCAAGAAACAGAAGAATATCCATAGCAGCAACTTCAATGTCCATCAATAGTAAAATGGATTGAAAAAGTGTGACACAGTTATACAGTGCAATAACATACAGCAATGAAAAGGAAAATCTGCTCAATATAGTTGGGTCTCACCAACGCTGTTGACTAAAAGGAGCTAGATGCCTTTAAAGCAGTATTTACTAAATGATTCCATTAATATAAAAATAGATTTATGGTGTTTAAATCAGGATAACGGTTACTCTCTGGGGTTTTACAAAATGGAAGAGGATATAATCAGGCTTTCTACAGTGCTGGTCAAGTTGTACAGATTCTAAATGTATGTTAATTTCAATAAAATTAATTACTTAAAACAAAACAAGAACATAGAATAAGCTGAGGGTAGTCAGGGCTGTCAGTGAGAGGGTGAGAAAGCCTGTCATAAACCCAGGAGGAAAGGCAGCCAATGAGAAATTCAGGGTGTTTTGAAAGAGAGTATTTAACATTCATTTCTAAGTTAACTCCTGTGTTGCAGTTTTCTGTAACCTCTTCATGACTCCATCCCCAACCCAATTTTATTGCTGTAAAATCATTAGTAAAGTTTACAACATCTTTTTAAAAAGAGCAAAGCAAGCTTAGGAAATAGGGATGGAATTTGATGAAGGTAGGGTATGTCACCAGAGGCTAGGAATCACAAAGGACTGCCTCTGAAGAAGTGACCCTAGGTAGAAGCAAAAGTGAAGGAGGGGAGTTCATTGATAAACATAGCTAAATGTGATGTTGGAAGGTGAAACCTGGTCAGAGGAGGGAGGTCACTGGGGGCTTGGCCTGGAAGGGCCTATCTCCCTCCCTCCTCCTTTGATTTCACTCAGGCTTACAGACTGAGAGAAGAAAAGGAAAAGACTCCAAAGCTAGGTATTATGCAAATATCAGCAAAGAAATCAGTGTGTGTAGTACCAAGGAAGGTGCAGGCATTGAGGTCAGGGAGTGGCTGATCAGGGAATAGCTGGGTGCAGATGGTGTTGGCCTTCATGGGCTGTGGATTTACAGGATCTACTGAGTGAACTAGGAAGCCGTTATAAACGACAGAGTCTTAAGCAGAGAAATAATCTAATGCAAGATAAATGTTAGAGGTATCATTCCAGCTGCTTTGGGGAAAAGAGACAAGGCAAAGACGGATGCACAAAGAACAGTCAAGAAGTTTTCTAAGGCAGAAATGATGCTGGCTTGGATAGGACTGGTAGTGGTAGAGGTGGGGGAAAGAGGTTGATTCAACAGGACTTGAAGGTGGGCTTTGGGATCACTTAGGGGAATTAAGGAGCACATTTCTGGGTGGGTCTGGGTGGGTCATGAAAGTATGGCCTTGGTCTCTGTATCTGATCTACTTATTCTTAGGTGAGGTTCCCCTGTTCTGCTTTCCAGCTACCACAACTAAGCGTCTTTGCTCCTTCCACGATGATGTTTCTGCCTTGGAGCTAGCTGGCCATGGCCTAAATCTCCTGAAACTATGAGCCATACTAAACCTCTCCTCCTTTAAATTGTAGGTGTTGGTTATTGTGTCCCAGTGACTAGAAAGCTGAATAAGACAAACACCACATGAAAGAACTTTCTAACTAAAAGAGCTGCATGACAATTGAATATTTCCCTTTTATGTAATTAATTCCCACAGAAGCAAAGATTCCTTCTGTGGGGTTATAGGAGCATTGTCTCTCTAGTTTACCTGCTACATAAGCTGCTATGACATTATTGTTTATACCTAAATATCCCTCCCAAAACCACATGCACTTATAGGTGGGAGGTGACTTTGGGAGGTGATTGGATCATGGGGGGCTTGATACTCATCAGTGTATTAGTCCTGAAAGGATATAACTCCCTCTCCTCTCCCTGGTTCTCTCTGCTTCCTGCCACCAAGCCATGAGCTGTTTCTCCTCTGCCATGCCCCTCTACTATGCCACCCTGCCTTGGAGCCAGCTGACTATGGACTGAACCCTCTACAAACCTGTACAAACTTTGAGCCAAAATAAACTCCTGTAACTTGTGGGTGTCAGGTATTGTATCCCAGAGAAAAGAAATAGAGGGATTTCTGTTCTCAGTAGTCAAGGGCTGCGTTTGTCTGGGAAAATCAAAGGGTCTGTTTTTTATTTACTCTCACACAACAATCAATATAGAAAACTGCTCTAACCCCAAAAGGTATGGAGAGTTCTCTCCACCAGCAAGCAAGCAGTTCTGCAGCAGCCATCAGCGGGGTGTTATTCCCTAATTTATTCTGACACTATCTACCCAGTGATAACTTCAGATCTCACAAGGTGAGGGTTCAGCTTCCAAGAATGCCAATCACAAGTACCATGCTGAATCTGCTAACAAATTGTTAAAGTACACAAGAGTCACAGTGATATTGCCATCACTCAAAGATTGCTCAGGAGTTGTCCTAGATGGGAGGTAATGTAATTTATCCCAAAATCTGTCTTTCCAGAGGTCAGGTCCCTGGAGAGCTCTGCTGTCATCAGATTCTCCTAGTCAACTGGAACTTCAAAGCTGCTTGGCCATGACATTAAGTTCCCATGGCATTATTCCTGGGCAACAGGCATCTAATCTATGCTTCAACTCCTGGAGGGACCTCCCCTCTTTTGGCTTCTTCCCAGACAGCCCAGATTGTTAAAGAGTTCCTATTCATCTTGGACTGAAACCTGCTTCACTGTCCGTTCTATACCTCAGTCTTACTGGAGCATGGGGCAGTGTTCCCCAAATTTCAAACAGCACTGGTCCTACTAGCTCCTTCATATTTTTTTTTCAATTACCTATTTTTCCTCCTTAAGTAAATTTACCTCAAATGGAAGTTCCCATCACCTTGTTAGTGGGAAAGCTGTATCAACTAGAAATTAACAGCATAAGGTATAATAGGAGACGCAAGAGAAAGTGAGGATATTAAATTCTACTTCGGAGCTGTTGCCTAGCAAAGACTCTGAGGTGAGGCAAGCTCACTGTTAGGAGATTAGCAAAGGTTAGAGAGGTGTAAAAACAAATACCAAAAATCATACTTCTTCCTTGACATAATCCATGGGAGCAAGGGGATTGAAAAGGGCATGCTTCTCTTCACCTTGCAATCTGTTTTTCATTGTTACTGTCTGTGTGCCGCCCAAAACCATCTCTCATGAAAGATATCTGCACTGAATACGTGCCACACTTCGAACATCATGCCTAGGTGTGAGCTGGCCGCTGAAGATTATTAAATTGCCGCATCATTCAGCTTTTGGGCTTAAATATTCAGCCTTTGGCCACTGATGAAGGTGTGTGTGCTTGTGTCTGTGCTTTCAGAATACTCTCAGGTATTCTGAAAATTGCTGCTACCAGGCTAAATCACTCTTTGTGAATTTGTATTGTTGGGTGTTTGGACCCCAGAAAAGATTGGCATTTATTCTTATTAGCCAGATTCTCCCCTTTGCCCTCCCCTATGCTTGAACATATGCTCAAGTCCCGCTCTTGCCTTGCATTAGAGGTTTGCGAGGAAGGCTTGTGGGCAGAACTGGGCCCCGATGAGGATGCCCTGGACGCTGGCTGTGAGTCTCATTTCATTTGCCTTAAATACTTCACTTAACACATCAAAGACCCCATAGAATGAATAGATGTTTATCTGCAAGTTTACAGAGAAAAACTGCACTTTAACTTGAAGTTTTTAAGCGTAGTTACTATGCAATTTTCCACTTTTTAAATTTTTTGTTTCTCATTAATATTTTGTAAATACTTTATTACGTTCTTACTCTCCTCGCCCTCCCCACCTCTGCCTTACAAATAAGTTCTATCTCCTCGCTCTAAAAAGAATTTGAGGCACTTAAGTCTCGATGTCATATATGGGTTATAGAATATACCATTAAGTCATTCTATCATAATTTATTTTATCAGTTTCCTACTGGTGACAGTTTGGCTTCATTTGCTTTTTGGGATTTTTAATAGTATTATTTTCCGTCATAAATAATCCTGCCACAGACCTCCGTGGCGGAGCGTTATTTTGTTCTGCAAATTTCTCCAAGCATGGAATCGTGGGGGGGCGGTGAGGAGCCAGCCAGCACATCTTCATGGACACTAGCAAATTCCCTACCTAAAGGAGTAAACAGGGTTTCAACGAGGAAAAGCAAAAGCTGGTTTTCTGCCAAAGAAATTACATTTTCCACTTCTTCAGGAAACACAAACACCGCGATGGGTGGCGGGCGCTGGGCCAGGCCCTGGGGCGGACGCCGGCCCTCGGGAGCGCGTGCGGGCAGGGTGCAGGCCGAGGCTCGAGGCGCCCACTGCCTGCCAGGGAGGCGCGCGCCCTTGGCGCCAGAGCGGGAGAGGAGCTGGGTGTGAGCGGCCGCGCAGGCAACCGGCACCCGAGTCTCGCAGAGCAAGAGTTCCTGCACGGGGCTTACAGGTCTTACACTGCGATTCTCCGGCCTCCCGTTAGGGAAAAAGTGTCCCAGCCCCGGCACAGAGGTGGTGGTGGCATCCTAAGCCCCCAGCATTTTAAGCCTCTTTCCCTCTCCAAGGAGGAGGGGGAAAGGAGTCGCCTCGACTGCTGGAAGAGGATCTGAGGATTTGTTCATTCGAGGGCTGGGAAGCCTGGAGCCGCACCGGAGAGACGGTAGCACCAGACCCGACGGTGGCCCGGGGCGCGGAGGACGCGTGTGCTGCGCCCGGCCGGGAGGCGCCCGCCGGCTGCACCTGCTTGGAGAGCGGTGAGGGAGCCGGGCTGCCGGGGCGGCGGCG